AGTTACTCTCTTGTTTACAGGATAATATTGTGTCCGGCTTGATAATCTGACATAAGATAATTATTCTGAGAATTTTAAGGAAATAAATACACTTAAGTTACTTTAGCAAAATGAAATCCTCGTTTTTGAAATCCAATAGGTAGATAGAATAATTTATAAAAAAAATGTTTCATTTTCGCATTTAAACATGGCTATTCTAAGTATTAAACATAGCTTTTCAAATATCAACTATCAATTAGCAATTATTTAAGATGGGGACACCACTATGTGAGTATTTTAACCCAAATATGAGTGAAGGATGAGTGTACGATGAGTGGCGCGATCTTGTAGTCTTGTTAGTGACTAAGGCCGACATGTTCCTTAGACACAGCTGTTAATTAATAGCACATACAGCTAATGGCAACTAAGGGACCTACAGTTTATAGTGGAATTCGAACCAAATTTTTTCCTTGTAATTTACGAATTGGTCTAATTATCAGGATAGTACTGCGGATAGTCGTAGTACTCACTAGTGCGGACGTTAATCCGCACCAGGGAGCATCGCATCCACAGTGCATCCCTATAAATATCCACAATTCGTTAAAATAAAAAGAGTCAATTCCTAATTTGAGTCAATCTGTACATTCTAACTTATTTTAATAATGTTGGCAACATGTAATTTAACAATATTTCCATAAAATGTCACAGAGATTTGTTCAAAGGACAAGATTTGAAATTTGCTAATCTGCTCTTATAATCTGTTTTGTATAATATTGTTAACATTTTATACTATTAAATTCCTGAGAAAAATTAACCTAGGCCTACTTTAATCATCAATATGTTCACAATGGTAAAGAATTTAGGACAATTTTAAGTTTCATAATCATAAAAAAGTAAAGTAAAGTAAATCATTGTTAAAAGGCTAGTTAAAACTATTGATTGTAGTAATTGAATCACTACGTATATGGAAATTTAATATTTTATATTATTGTTGAAAATAAAAATAAAATTTGTCTTGGTGCTTGTTATTTTCCGGTTTTACATTTTTCGTACAGATTGATGTGATACGTCAGGGTGACATTTTTATTTTACTCCATGTTTATCCTACACTTTGGTATCTAAGGAATAAAGAACATTTAGTTGTGTAAGTAGATCATTGGTTAGAAACTCTGACTAAAGATGCATATTTGTCGGGTTTGATCCCGACATTTCCAGAAAACAATTTTTGTATTGAGTATTTTTCAATTTGAATAATTTGAATTTTTTACAAAATCCCCATTCCAAAGACACATATATAAAATATTCTGAATAAAGTAAAGTAATGGTAATTATTTTCATTTCCATAAACAGTGAATGGCTGAAAGCAATGTATGACATGTTAAATAGATTTATCTGCACATCTGTCGTCAGTTCTACAAAATCATATTGCTGTGAATCTATTCAATTAGGACCAGGTTTATCCATGTTTATATGACGCTGCTGAAATGAGAAGGCAAAGTGAATTAAAACATCCATATTCAAAATAAACTAACAGAGTGAAAATTTTATCAAATGCATTTGTAATCCATTTCAATGAGAGTTTTTTTTTTGTTTTATCCTTTTGAATTAAGAATGTTTCTTCATAAAATGAGGCATTGTAAAAGGGTACTATTATATAAATAAACAAAATTAAGCAACAAGGCATAACATTCTTTTTTGTAATGTATAGGTTTAAGTAATGTTTAGTGACATTTTTTTAGTATGAGTTTAAAGAAACAAAAAGCAGAGTAAAACCCTTTTTGTCTTCTAACCATTTTTAGTCATTATTTTGTCATATAACTTAAAGATTTTATCTTGGTATTATCAAGTACCAATATCGTATTGAAACATTTAAGTGACAAAATGAAATATAACAAGGCAGTATTAAATACTAGTTTTTACATAACAAATTAAAACTGTTTCCAGTTTTACTTAACTGTTCTTAGATACATAATAAAACAGTCTTTTAGCAATAGTAACTCTATTAAGGAAATGTTACGGTCATTGATTACTAGTATTCGTAATACGGCAAAATTGTGGTAAATAAATAATAAATAAAATTGTCTTTATTGGTTAAAGCGTTAAGTCAATTTTACAAAACTGTTTTTCTCTTACAACTTTCGTCATCTAATATCTAACAAACAATTAAAAACCAAAATAAGTACTTTATATGTGCTGCGACCGAACGTTATACATTGCAAAGTGTATGTCATTCTTGTTTTTCATTTTACACAACAGAGGAGTGGGTGAAAATAAAATGTCACTAAATCTTTTAAGAAGAGCAATTTAAATTGTACATTCTGCGTGTTACATTCAGTAACAAACACAACATTTAGTACATGTGCTTAGTAAGGTAACATTTAGTTGCTCGTAATGTTAAAGCCCCTCAGATTCATCAAGTGTTTTTAGTTGGCTTTGCAACGTTCTGAGAAAGTATTTTATATATGTACTGTACCAAAATTTCAGATTTTTCAGGCTGCAGTTTAATTATCTTGCTCAATAAAAGAATGCAGACTCTAAACATTTTCTCCAGAATTTACTCAACTAGTTAGCGAGGCATATGTTAAAAGTAGATAGCCTATTTATACTTAAAGGAGACGCCGTGAATTTATGTTACATAGCAAATAGTTTTTGCGCTCTGCATAAAAAAAAACATCATACAATCCATACAGTTCGTGTAAAAAAGGATTTATTGACTAACACATAAATAAAAGTCCTTCCTCACACCCGTTTTATTTTTCTAAATAAAACATAGTCTACTAAAAAATATGTGATTTTTATAAATTTACTAAATGAATAATCTGATAGAGGGTTACTGTTATTTTATGGTTGTTTATTGTGATGGGATAGATCTTTTGGTAAGATTACTTGTAAAGAATTGCCCGAGAGTTGTTACAAATGGTCACGAATGATTACACAGGAAAAGATAATGGGAAATAAATTAAACTTTACCGATGATTGCCTTCCCTTGTGATTTGTGAAGCCAACAATCGTTTCAGGCAACGGATAAATTGGTTGGAATCCTCGATAAAGCAGTAATGCCTTCATCACTTATACTTTTTAGGGATTTAGACAATTTTAGAATTTAACATGTATATTTATTTATTCCACTAATTGTGTTGTAATTTGCGCTCCATTCTTTGTACGTTTGTAAATTTTATGTTCTAGTCTTTATCTAAATAAATTATATTTTAAATATTTGCTAAGGGGTTTCTTGCAGTTATACAACTGTTTACAACTTAGAAAAAAAATGTTTAAAGTTTTTTACTTTTTGGTTCATATTACTCACATATTTTGACATCTATTATGAACTACCATGCTTAACTAATTTTAATAGATCTGTGTCTTTGTGATTCGCCATCAGATGTGCTTTACATGCTACTCGTCTGCCCTACTTGCCATCACTAAGTTCTATCTCCTATACCTTAACGTTAGTTGCCCTCACAAACCCCTACCTACTGCTTCTTTCACTACTTGATATTCGGAATCCCTATTGGTTATCACCGAACCCTATTTTATCATGACCTTGATAGGCCACAGCTAACCTGTTTCTGCTATTACGAAACCCAACCCTACCAGCTACAACAAACGCCACCTGCTATCACTAGACACTACCTGCCATCACTAACCCCAATTTGCTATCATTAAATCCTACCTGCCATCATGAAACCCAACCTACCAGCTACAACAAACGCCACCTGCTATCACTAGGCACTACCTGCCATCACTAACCCCTATTTGCCATTACTAACTCTTATCTGCCATCACAAAACCCAACCCTACCAGCTACAACAAACGCCACCTGCTATCACTAGGCACTACCTGCCATCACTAACCCCTATTTGCCATTACTAACTCTTATCTGCCATCACGAAACCCAACCCTACCAGCTACAACAAACGCCACCTGCTATCACTAGGCACTACCTGCCATCACTAACCCCTATTTGCCATTACTAACTCTTATCTGCCATCACGAAACCCAACCCTACCAGCTACAACAAACGCCACCTGCTATCCCTGCCATCACTAACCCAAATCTTATATCACTAAATCCTACCTACCATCACGAAACCCTACCTGCCACACTATATCCTTTAAAGATGATCGTTATCGAAGTTAGTAATGTAAATTTTAATTCAATAAAAGTTGATAAAAATTTCACTTAATTTGAGGTATTGGTTTATTATTTTGAACATTACAAATTAATAACCCCAGATAAGATACATTTTATTTTAGACATACAACAAAATGTTAAATATCTCCATGTCGAAAATGTGCCTTTATATCATGCAACCTTTCAATCAATACTGTAAACATTAGTTTTGCCAAAATGACTCTAAAAGACTCGCAGGTACTTTTGGCAATTGTATATCGTTAAAATACATAAGAAACCTGTTTGCGAATAAATAGAGAGCATTTTAGAGTGAGTAGATGAATGTAAAATGTATCAGCCATGTATATGTAATGTATTCACAACGTTGTAGTCAACAGGTCGGGTTGAACAGTGTAGCGAGAGGGGTAGACCCCGGACGTTTGCAAGACCCCATCCCACCCCCACACTAGTTGCACTCACCCAGCCTAACACAAGCATACAATTCATTTCCTGTTGTATAAATAATATATAAGACTTGCTTAATCAGGATCGGACCTCGATTGGAGCTATTTGTGAAGTAATAGTAGTTTTTTGCTGAAATAAAACATATAATGTTTTTTTTAAGGTGATCTTTGTCAATATTATTGTTAAATTTTAAGCCGTTATATAGTAGGACTTAATTTTTGTAAAACGAAGAAATGCTTAAAACTTTTTTGCCAATACCTTAAAATCTGAAATGGGGAAAATCATCAATACCATTGACTTTTACCCTAAATATAATTTTTTAAATGTATCTTTTAACTTCGCCTAAATTGGTTTATCTACTCCCAAACCCTTTCTTTCCCTGTACAATACTCTAAAAGTTGGCATGGTGAACTTATACTGATAAAAGTACTAAATTAAAATACCTTTTGAAAGATAACGAACAGTTTCCGACACAGTGGTTCACTTGACAATATTTTCTATTCCCGCGCACTGTACAGACGTTTACGCGCCAAAGACAGCCCGGCGACTGGTGGGAGCGCGTGGCAGGCGTGCGCAAACGCAGCGCAATCAATATTTTACCTAGCGGCCAGGTAGCCTGTCTTATCTATCGCTAAATATAGAGACCTCCCTCGCACCTGGTTCTGTGAGACGTGTTAACCACTGACGCACCCCCTGAACCCACTGACAACCTATTTGTGGTAACTACGTCATTTGAGTGATCAATAGCCGATTTTGGAGTCTGTACAAGTGAAAATTTGTGGAGTTGGGAAATGAAAAGAGTGAAATGTGTATTCGTCAATAAAAGCACAAGCATAATTTTTAGGTTGAAAATATTTTTTATATTTGGAAATCTTTATTACTATTTTGATGTATATGGTTCTTAAGTCGTTTTACCTTCCATAATTTTATTTTGTTGATAATTATGATTGGCATATTGCATCAACTATTGCCAAGAGGTTTCCTTTTTCTCGGATAATTTTTTTAAACTAACTACTGTTACCAATTTGAAATTCATATATTCCGAATACCTACTAAAAAAATATCTAAGATAGAACAGCTCTCAAACAATTGGTATCCATAACTAACATAGAAAAACGAAAAGTAAGACAAGTATAACATCAAACATATAAATAAGCTTCAACTTCTAGAGGATTTGATGTTTGTTTTTTGTAATTTTTTTTTTTGGGGTTATGTTAGACAAACTACAGGCACATCTGAAAATGCTAAGAAAAACATACATTCGTTTGTACTTTAATGGTCTTTCACCGTTCAACAAAAAAGCTTACCCTGTACCTTTCTTTCAGTAGGCCTACTCAAAATTCGATGTTTACCCATTTTATGACATTACATATATTAATAGACAAATCTCTTTCGATAATCTTATGAATACACAATAATTGTTGAGAAATTTTTACTGGTCACTTTTTCAAGTAGTGTGACCAGTAACAAAGTTAATCATAGTATATAAATAATAAATTTGTTGTTGAGCCTAGCATCAGATGACAAATACTTTATTCGCCTGCTGTAACATCTGGGCAAACTTAGACTAATTATATATTAACAAAAATACACATAACACAAGGTAACACAATCTTATACTAAAGAGTTGGCGAGATGATCTACGTCCTGTTGAGAACCATTCATGATTAATAAGGTAAAGCCTAAGCCATAACCATTTACGTTTATGCGTCCACAGAACTACCCAAGGAATGACCACTCAAAGCGTTTTATATAGTCATTAAAAGAAACCGTTACACATCAGTAGCCATACTTACTATTACTTTATGTATTATAACTCTAGTCACTCCAGTCTCTCTGCGTATTTGTTATTTCGTTAGAAGACCATAAATATCAGAATACTTAAAACGCATTGCTTGCACTTCAAATTTTAACGAATAATTCCAGACATAAATAATATAAATAAGTTTGGAATGAAAATATTTCAATCTATATTGCTACTTAATAATACACCAACTGTAGTAAAAACCCACGTGGATTCAATTGTTTGTTTTGATTAGTTGTCAAAATGTGTGTATTTATAGTTCTATATTTGTAAGGTTATATTTGTAAGGCATTTTACATTATTATGTTACCAATAAATAAAAGGTGTATACTATAACTACTACAGGAATTTTTTATCCAAACGGTGTATAGAATAGACTATATTATACTGTATTAAACAAAAATATGTTTGGTGTACATTTATCGGTGGAATGAAAAAACGTAGCCCCAAACCAAGGTTCACTGTGGCTAAAGCAATATGTAATTTTAACATGAACATATTTCAATACAACAAATATTTTTTTAGAAAAAATTTACTAAATTTACATTGTTTTACCATACAGATACAAGTATTGATTTAAATCATTCCACATTGACAAGATGATCTAATTTTCTCCGGAAGTACTTCACAACGCGTGTTCTATTCAATCTACACGCCCTACATACGACTATCTCAGTCACTATTTGCTAAAGTTAGCTTCAAAGGCAGTATTATCATCAATAAGCTTCCTATAATTACAGGAGCTAGCAAATTATTTCCTTCCTCCCCCGACGGATATTATTAACCTTGCAATTTGTTCAGTGTATTTATACGTTCCTTTTGAACTTCTTTTATGCTTGAAAATGCAATTTCTTAGTAGGATTCGGGATATTTAGTTATAATAATGCACAAAATTAATTTATTAAGGCTTTTCACTGATCAAATTTAAAAGTCATGTCAAAAAATTACTAAAATTTGGAGGTACTTTGTAATTATTTGAGGAGTTCTCTAGTAAACCAATTCTCTTCGTCTAGCAAAACAATCCAATTATTACCTCCTAGATAGAATATTCGGACGAACCGTTGGGCCGTGACGTCACCATTTAATAAAAAATTGAGTGTGTGTAGGAATTGAACCAGAGATAAAGGCTCACACCAGAAAGTATTTCTTGCTGAGAAAACTAGAACTAAATCCACTGGACCAGGCTCAACCCTGTCAAAAATCTTAAAGGGTTATATGACATTATTAAAATTTAATGGTTAGTTTTAGAAGATGAATAATTTATTGTTAACATACTTACTCTGTTATACTATCTACAGGAAAATGAATACAGTATGCATTAATATTTTTTTGGAAATATCTTAAACGAAAAGAACAAAAATATCGTTATCAGCGTTTAACTATTACCAATACTTTCACTGGGTAATCAAGGAAACTACAAAATAACTGAAGGAAACTTCACAAACTTAAATTTATAATCATAGTACATTTTTTGGACACGTACGAAAACCATAATTTGAGAATAAAGTTGTAACAATTTATATCAACGATAAAAGTTTTATTAAAATGATCTATTCCAGATTAATTTTGTATTAGCAGGAAAGTAGAAAATTAACCTAAAATTTGATTCAAACTAACTCTTTCCTGTCAAAAGCTATATATTTTACCTAATACATTCTGAAGTTCGGTTCAATAATTTTCTAGTCTTAGGTCATACAATAACAAAGAGTCAAGGATTAAAATATAACATATTTTTATTATAACATAATAGTTCTTCGTATACTAACTAAATGTTTTTGAAGATAAGGAATGTACTGTACCTTTTTAAAAAATGTTTATTTAAATAACAACTCGTGAAAGGATATTAGATTTAGTGTTAATTTTAAGAAGCAACAACTCGTTTAGTGAAATGTCTAGGCAATTTTTGTACAAATACTCGTACAAGAAAACACAAATATAAACTGCCTTCTTTGTTAAGCTTAAACAAATTATAACGATTTAGATAAATATATCCTACATTGCTAATGGCAAGGTCCCTTTTAACATTACCTAAGATTTGAAAATAACCCATTAATATGCAAAGATAAAAATACAATACTAAGTCTATTTTGGTGCTTCAAAATTTAAAATCCAAATTATATTTAAAAATATTATATTTAAACATATTTGTCGAATGTCTGTCTCTTGATGTAACCACCAATTTCAAAATGTCTGTAAAACCCACAAATCCTTCAATCATCGTTTGAATATCCCTTGGTCCAATTAGTTTCGTGATCTGGTTTCAGCAGTAAATGACGTTAACTCTCAAACAGAATCGAATTAAAGTCACCCACTTCCTTTTTATACATCAATTACCAGTAATTTAGCTAAAAATAGATTAAAACATTTTACGAATAAACATCTCCAAAGACATACTATTGTGATCGCCAATGTTCCATTTTATTCACCACTATCAACTCTAAAATTTTAACTCTAAATGATTAAGCCCCCTTAAAAGCGCACTTGTAGTTCTCTTTTGTAACAAACTGGCTTCAGCTATTCACATTTTCACTTAATCGTCTAAATCGAATGATTGAAGCATAACTTTAAGGTTCCTTTTCTGGCTTTATGTTTACTTGTTTAATTTTAAGTAAGACTCTATAAGGTATGTATCAAAATTAAGGAAGCTTTATACATTGTGATTTTCTATTTACTTTATCTGGATAATTCCTGTAAGTCTCTGATCGTTAATTGCTCGTAAATGAGGGTTACTCTTCTGCACAGTATAAATATGGGTGGGATTATATTGTTAAATATGGTATTAAGAGGTAAAATTGTGAGAAATACCTTTAGATCCTAAAACTGAAGATCCATTAGGGTTTTGGTAGAACAGGAACAAGATGAGCAGAGAAGCGATGGCTCTGGCCAGAGTGACGAGAATCGAAGGACCACAGATGAAAGATGATGTTGAGAAATGACTATTGTTGTGTAGTATGTAATTCTTCACTGATTTAAATTAAAACTCTTCTTCATTAATAAAAAGAAAGCAATTCACTACTCATGAATATTCTGGACTGTACACGAAAATTTACAACACATTTACTTTAAATAAAAATATCTTCTTGGATCCTAGCTTGACACTTGGTACTATAAATTTGGAATCCATATTTAAATGAGAAATGATGAAATAATGCACTTGGAGCGGTAAGAGAGAAAGAGAGATTAAAATATTTAATATGAACTAAACCAAAAGGTAAGCACTGTGTACTGTGAGAGAGGTGAGTCTAAACTGAACTGACTAGTACGAAGTGCTGTAGTGAACTTTGGACAGTGATGTCATCATATCAGCTGTTGTATCCTTTCAATAACTGAACTAAAAACTTGACTTGAATGTTAATACTACTTGATTAATTGTTTATATTTGACTGTATATAGTTCATATGTTATTAAATATTTATTTTATTAAATGTCCTTAGTTGAATTACTAAATATTTAACATACCGGCCCCCCCTGAACCCCTGGGTTCTGAAAACAACACAAAAAATGAGAAAATCAATAAAAAAGGGGGGTGGTAACTCCTCTTCACTATTCCATAGGAAGGACAGACACCTTTGTCACAGGACGAGAGAGGTGTCCACTTGCGGTCTTCAGGTGCACGACCCGTACTATTCCATCAGTACCAGGTGAAACGGAGAGAACTCGTCCAAGCTTCCAGGAGAGTGGAGGCAAGTTGTCTTCATGAATGACAACCAAGTCATTGACTTCAATATTCTTCTTGGGGT